ACATTGAGTCAAGCTAGTGTTTGGTATGTATATTGCTTCATAGCTACGCTTAATACGACGACACCCATCGTACAGCATCTGAAAGTAAGTTAGTATTAATATAGAAACAAATAGCTTCACTATTCGCCTTTATCCCACACTAGAAAGCGTAATCTCATTAGATAGACAGAGCATCCTAAGTAAATCGCGTTCGTCGGCATAATTTAATCCGAACAAACGCCCCTAACAATTTCGACAAACAATAAGAAAAATACAAACTCAACGCTCCCGAGGAGGAAAACAAAAGGCACGAGCAGACGTACAGACAAACGGAGGGACACAATAATTGCCTGGCACACACACCCCGCCTACATATTACTTTGTTACATCGGCCCAAGTTATACGCTGAAGCGACTTCAAGAATTGCTCAGTATTTCACTGTTTGCGAGCGACACAAGGCAGCATCGTCCAGTGAATTAACGCCTCACATAAAACTGATGTAAAATTATTATGTGCGTATTTAGTCGAGACAATTCTAATAGTTTGTGAAAGTGACTTCGTATAGTAAAAAAGATCAAATGAAATCAAAGAAATATATGACAGAAATCTTATCAAGAATATCCAAAGAAAATTAAAAATAAACCATTTCTCGCAACTCCTATGAATTATTCCACGTGCCAAATCCAAATAGGCCCCGCGTGGGCTAAAAAGATAGTATGTAGCAAGCAAGAGTCGAAGTTTTGAGAAACACTTAATGACTTCCCACCCAATGGTCCATGAGCTCATATTCACAGGTGATACGTCTACTTAGAAACTAGTTTTGTTTTGAATATGGAATCCAGACAGAACGGCGTGGTTCCACATTCAAATCGAAAAATTTGAATATCGAATTAATTGAATCTATTAAAACGGTAGCGGTTTTATCAATGGCGTGGCGTTGAGGATAATACGCCGTAAGAATAACGAAAAAAGTACGGCTTGTAAAGAAATTTAACTAAACATACAACGGAAACATTAGTTTTTATTATTAACAGTCTGCATAGTACATAAATACAAATTCTATTTTTGTAGGGGAAAGTAACAATGATGATTATGATGATGATGACGATCATCATCATCACCATACTACTCAGGCTGTAGAAATAAACAGAATTGGAGTGCTAGATTCCGGTTAAAACCTTTTTCGTTCATGCATTTACTTACAAAATTAATTTTGAAATAGATATTCCTTCAATAACAACCCGAATGGCGTGGGTAGTGTACCTGCCTCCTACGCCAGATGTGGGTTCGATCCCCACTACTGGAAAAATATTGTGTGATGAACATAGTGTTTTTCTGGTGTCTGGGTGTTTATTACATTTTTTGAATGCGAAAAGTTGCCAAACGAGCAGACGGGTCACCTGATGTTAAGTGAATACCGCCGTCCATGGATATCTGCTACACCCGAGGCTTACAGATGTGTTGACAACCTTTTGAAAATTGGGCTCCGGCTATTATATATGTATAATATGTATTTATTTACAAAAGAAAAGTATATTTAAGTATGTTTATCAGTTATCTAGTACACATAGTACAAGCGTTGTTTAGTTTGGGACTAGAGAAAGTTGTGTGAAAATGTGTCCTAAAAAAAGTAATATATAATGAGCTCACCTAACTGGAATTTTAATTGACAGGTTTGGTGTCACAAGATAGCACTAGGTTAGTCCTATTCTTTATTGAATCGCATTGAAGGAAAAATTACATATTTCCTTATAAAAATCTCGGGTAAATAGCTGATTTTCAAAAAAGACATTTATTTTTAATGTGAGAAGGTGGCAAACGAGCTTGCTTGGCGGTTATGAATTAACCTGACGTTAATTAATAACCGCCGCCCATTCACATTTGCAACACCCGGGTCGCAAATGCGTTGCCACCTTTTATTAAAGTGGGCCACGGCTACCAAACTCACCAGACGAAGGTATCTGTACACATAGCTTGTATCTTGTATTAACTGATGTTTGTGCTTTCAGTCCCGAGACTATTAAAGCTTCATCGGACGCAGAACCGGTGGGCTAGCCAGAACCCACGGGTTTGGGTTAGCCAAATAGCCTTATTCTACTCACCTTAACATCGAGCGAAACATCATCAAAAACGGATTACTTAGTAAATTTCCGTTCGTTTTATTTATATTGCGATCGCATTTACGACTCCACCGGGTGCAAGGAGCATGCGTCAATTTTACAACGTCACAGGCCCAAACGTCGCCTTGTTTTTCATCAACGAATTTAATATGTCGTTATTCTTTTACGGGGCGCCGGTTTCGCGCGGGAAAAAATGTTTTTTTTCCTCTCCGTGCGTTCGGCTAGCTCCTTCACGCGCGACGTCGACTCGACTAGATCAAGTTTTGTTCAAGTTTATTTTGATAGGACCGACTGTTGCTCTTTTTATGGTGGATTTTATTATACGGCCATTAGCCATTGGTAATTTTGTGTGAAGAAACTTTTTTTTAAATAGCCTTCATAGCTTCGTTTTAATTTATTTCCATGCAATTCATTCTTCGAAAACTTCGTTTTCTCCGCCTTATTGGGATTAAAATGGTTACTCTCTGCAGTCTTTATTAATTCTTAATTATTAGTTACATTTTTAATAATGGAATTGTTAAATTAAAGTAATTTACCTATTTTACCGTAAACTCCGCAAATTAGTTTTATTTCCTAATGTGTGGTTTTTATGTAAATTTCGAAATCATTAAAAGATATCTTTATTACAGCGATTTCTTATTCGTTTCTTCCATAAGCCATTGTGTATAATTTTCTTTAATTTAATTAGTTTGTTTTAAATATACTCCGCAGCTCTTACAACATTTCCATATATATCAGGAAAACTAAAAAAAAAAAAACATTCGTTACAGAGGAGTTGTGATAAAAAAGCGAAAAGTAGCGGCGGATAGGCGAAAACGATGAAAAAGAGTTTACATTGCTAAATCAGACCATTTCACTCGTTTGATTTTTTTATTAAACTTTCAGAATTTTCAAAAATATCAATTTCAGTATCCGTGCCAATTAAGGATTGTGACGTAGTATAGATCAATCTGGTGTACCATCGCCCGCGCGATGCAAGGGAATGTTTTCCTACTAACTTGACATTTATCCTTATATTTTGGACAATTCACACAATATCTTCATAAATTACAGCCTATGTGTTATTCTGATGTATAATCTATATTGTTATAAAGTTTTATTTAAATCCATTCAGCAGTTTTTGCGTGAAAGAGTAACAAACGTCCATACATCCTTTCGCGTTTACAATATTGGTATGTATTAGCAAGGATAAGGATTAGTAAGGATTTCTGTCCCATCTACGCGAACGCCACAAGAGATCTCATTGTGCTTATAGGAACCTGTCTTACTGGTCTAACGGGCGTTCAGTGTATGTGACTTGACTCTATTCATTATAACGCACGAAATTCAATACGATTGTAAACAGCCTTGATCAATTAAAAAGAAATATATGGAGAAACTATCATCTCGCCTTTTCAAAAGAAACATCAGAGGTACCAAGAAAATGATTGTTGATGGTTTTTTTATGGAAAAAAAGTAAAGCAAGCCAATATATGAGTATGTCCTACTGTTGAGCAAATACCTCCTCTGTGCAAATGGTATTAGGGCATGGTTCACCACACACCCCTCTACAGATTGGCAATCTATGAAGTAATAATAACAAAAAAAAATATTTAGAAGATATGTAAAGTCCACCAATCCGCAGTGGGGCTGCGTAGTGGACTATGTCCTCATACCCTCTGTGCAGAGGAGGCCTTTGCCCAGCAGTGGGATGTATAGGCTGTTACTTTACTTTTCCTTTTTTACCTCCCGTAAAATGTGAATATTTATTTTGTCTAAATTTAGCCCGAATATAACTGCACGGCAAATTCCATTATTAATCTGTTGACTTCAACACAGACGTATTGAAACACCGACACTATGTTTACTTAAGTCTTCTTACTTTATTCCCTGAAACTTGAATTAGTTTTTGTTTTACTTTGTTATGAGCACGCCCGCTTGCTCGACTTCGCACTGGTAGACAAATTTAAGTTAGTGTTGAACAATAAATATATACTTAGATAAGTTATGGTAAGCAATTGCAGTATTTTATCATTTTGCCATTTAAAACTGAATATATAAAGGCTCTGTGGCACACTTCCGCGGCTTTATACTGAGCAGACCTTTTTGGCGCGAATACTTTCGTTATTACTTATATTGTTGTCTTCTTTTTTCTCGTCATATTCTGTGCCCAATGAACAATTTTTCTTTCTTTCTTTCAGTTTTGGTCTCCTTGCCAACTGCCATTTCGCAACATGTCGTAGACACAATCGCAATATCCTATTGTGTGAGATGCACTTTTTGTCTGTAATTTTCGTGTTTTTCAAATCAGAAGTGACAGTTAAAGTTTTTAAATAGGCTTTCACTCGTCGAATTTGATTTTGTTTTTAAACTTTATGATTTCAAATATGCAGCAATCATGGTCACGGGATAGGCTGACGATTCACTATCCTGCGCAGGAATTGTTTTATAAAAATAAGTAAATTTTTTCCCATCAATCCAATCAATGAATACATATTCAAATTTCTGTTCTAATGCTATGCTTCAACTTTTTGTAGGTGAAGCGAAATTTTAAAAACCCCCTCAGAAATTTTAGAGAATAGCCCAACAATTCCTAGCTCTTAAGTACATAATTTCTAGTACGTGCCTGAACAAATTGTATTGTATCTGTTGAAAAAATTGTATGTGTCTCGTCTCTTAATGTATTTGAGAATTCTATTAGGTACATTTTCAATCATTTGATACTCTTCTTTATTTTCAGATGCTTGGGAATCCAGAATGGTAACGACCTAACGTACGTGTCAAGTACAGTCAACCGGCGGATGGTCGGACCGTCAGAATTAGTGATGTTCACAGTGAGACTAGATGTTGTTGACAAAATGTGGAGGTGATTATAGACAGTGATTGGACAAACTATGTGCAGTGTACTTCCGAAACATCAAAATGCGTGCCAAAGTGACGAAGATATATTTCACTATATGCGGTAAGTGTTCGTTTTTGTCATGCAAATATCTTTTTGCAATTACTGATGTATTTTTGTCGTGCAACGTCTTATAAGAATAAAATTGATCAGAGACACATAAGATTGAACTGAATCCAATGCCATAACATTTTTTTAAATCATTTCATAATTGTTTTGTCTATCATTTCACTGCGATCTGTCACCAAGGGGACATTTATCAGTGGGTTGGTTGGGTTTGTTATGGGCATGCTCGGTACGCGACCTGTGTCGCATCCTACTGTACTTACCTGTTGCGATTTTATTATGTCTTGGAGTATCTTCCGTTTTAGTTTGTAGTGTTGTCTTTCATCGAGACATTGGCCAGGCTGTTCGGATGGTCTTTAAGTCTTTATTTGTACTTGTTTGTATAGAACAGTATTTCCTGTTTGACTGTGGTCATATGCAGGTCGTGAAGTTTAATTTCATAAATGATGAAGTTCTGAAGTAACAAACATAAAAAAAATATGCAACTAAATAAACAACCTTATTCTTCTTCGTTTTGAACTCTGTTTCAAAACGTTTGTACAAAACTCGAACTCAGTTTGCTCGAGTATATTAAATTAAAGGCGAGCGCCCGGATACTGAGCTATCACGGCTCAACAAAACTAAAATAGGGGCTAAAAATACCAGATATCGCTAGATAAGGGAGGCTTATCGATTTAAATCTATTCATTTATATCAAAGTGGCATTCTTAGAAAATTCCGTCCGATTTCAACCTCCCCGGGGCGAGATGAAAGCCGAACGTTTAGGGTGAAAATGCCATAGACGAGGGAGTTCGTAAAATGGCAATTTGATTAGCGGAAAAACGGGTAGACCTTAATTGGTCTACCCGTTTTTCCGCCCGTAATTAAAACTGGCCCAGTCGACCTGTGTTGGGACGGAATTATCGGCAGCCCACGCCCCCTACCCGCACCGACGGTATCCCAAGTTTTCACTCGTTAAAATATTAGATGAATTCTTAATTAAAATATTAGGGGGTTTGATTGTGTCGACGAGATCACGACGAGCAACGTAACGCCCCGTAATCTTTTGTCCGTGGCTGTATTAGTTTTGTTCCGTATCGGATTCATCGCTGGGGAATCGTATGAATTTGAACGTCGATAATCCAATAGAACAAATTGGGTCGGGAAGCGAGCTTTTGCTTAGCAGCTGGGGAAGCTCGGCGGCTTCTGTTATCGCACGAGCGAGCCGATGCAACGTTGCCTGGTTTTAGTTTGCTCATTAACGTGCCTAGTTGTGGTGATCTTATTGCTCAAGAACACAAAACGCAATGCTCATAGACAGAATATCCTCCATGACAATAATTTATTTTCCAACTGGCGATAACTCAAAACGCGTTCTATTTGAAAGTTAACGTAGATGGAAATTTTAAACTTTTGTAGATAAATGAACAAAAACTTACGGCACTGAGGGATAAAAATAAAATTTAATCTTTACAGAACTTTTGTCTACAAAGCAATTATTAGTCTTAAATGTGCTGCAACAAAGCGTTAACCGTCTAATTATTCTAGCTATGCAATTTATATTCCATCGGCAACTACTTTGAGACAAAATACTGATAACTTAGCTAGCCCATTTATTATATAATTCGTCCACAAGAGCCCCGTAAAACTTTAATTTAAACTCTTAATAAAAACGAAACAGTAAACTTGCCGTTTTATAACCGATTTCACCCATTTTTCCTGTTATCTTTAACTTATCTTTTTACTGTATTACGAGATAGCAAACAGAGAATATAATGGGCCTATGAAATCTGTATTTTGAGCAGGAATGTGCGGGAATAATGCTGATAAAGATAAAATCATAATCATAACTAACTCTCTTGGCCTTAACATACCTAGGGTAGGTTTTCTACTGCCGATCGCCTATCTGAAGTCAACACTTGGAAAGAAACAGATCCGGAAAAATTATCTACGGGTGACACAAATACTTGTCCCGTGTGGGAATCGAACCCTCGTCGCCGAAGCCGTCACTTAGTAACTGCACCATCGATTTTGCCAGGTTGACTTTGTTCTATTATTATAAGATAAAGTTATATACATAGTAAGAATTGAAATCGTGAGATTATCTCTTTATCCATATTAACCTTATTTAATGCTTACCGAAATTACTCCGCCATTAGCAAATACTCGTATAGCTCATAAGTTGCTTATTTCTTTGGTTATAAATCATTTCATATATAAACAATAATCGTACTTGTATGACTCTTAAACGGTGGTAAATGAATCAAACCAAAACACAGTTTCCGCGTCACATCGTGAAACAAAACAAATTCCTCCAATTAGCCCACTGTGACATAGTTTGAAGTCGATTTGCGTTCAACTCTCGATTGTTGTTTAATTGTTTGTTTGTTTGTTTTTTTTATTATTAATTGCGAGCGACAACAGCGCTTGAACGGTGAATTGCGCCGTAATTGAAAGCTGGTGCACTCGACGAAATAAAAAGTGCGGTGCATTCTCGGGATAGCGTCGGGTCTGACCTGAGACCGGGGGAAATATCGACGATCGTGGAGTGCCATTGTTGGGCACATATGGCGTTCAGCGGCCTTTCGAGTGATTTGTTTAGCTTTAGAACTTAATATTGACGAACGAATTGCCAAAGAGAGGGGTAGGAATTGGCGACAGCATTGTGGTCACGATTGCGTTCGTTTCATTATTGACCGCGTCGTGTGCAGGTCAGCAAGCTTTCAGGGTTCCGCACCCAAAGGGTGAAACGGGACCCTATTACTAAGACTCCGCTGTCTGTCTGTCACCAGGCTGTATCACAACCGTGATGGTAAGAGAGATGAAATTTTCATAGATGATGTATTTCTGTTGCCGCTACAACAACAAATACTAAAAAACGGAATAAAAAAACTTTGCGTGCGGCTCCTGACATGATTTTTTTGCCGTTTTTGTAGATAATGGTACGGAACCCGTCTTGCGCGAGTCCGACTCGCACTTTGACCGTTTTATTATGTGATGGCGAAATAGTGTAAACGAGAGATTCCGTCAATAAAAACATATTCGAAAAGAAAACCTTCCCACCGTTTTTATGCTACACTCAATAACTAGGTTATAACTTTTTTGAATCGTAACTTCTAAAACTTCAAAATACACCTTCGTATTAGTAAATAATATAAATAAAATTTCAAACAAATGATTATACAAAAATAAACAATATTAGTTTTAGGTCGAATCATGATGAGATTATATTTAAAATCTTAAAATGAAAATGCAAGCCTTTATGATATGACCAAAAACTGATGGTAGGGGGCGCTGGTAGTTTTATAATTAGCTACATTAATGATTTTCAATGAGACTATAATACTAACTAATCTTTACTTCAAAATTGATTAACACAAACCTTATTTCACTAACACAAATACTTAAAAGATTTTAGTCCCCCCTGTAAAGTGATACTTAACTAAATTATCGCCGGACTTTAAATGGACTAGTTTGATTGTATGTGTCACGGTATGCTATGAATAAGCAGATGCCCATAACAGTCCTGACTTAGAATACGTTTGACAATTGTGATGACTCCGTGGCGCAGTTGCCAAGGCATTGGCTTCGGCGTCGGGGGTCGTGGGTTCGATTCCCACACGGGACAACTATTTGTGTGACCCACAGATAGTTGTTTCTCATCTGGGTGTTTGTCCGCGTGAAATTTATGTTTGTAAAACGTCCCTACAACACAGGATAATGTTATCCTAAAGTAAGGGCAATGTTTTTTTAAAAAAAAAAAAAAAAAAAAAAAAAAAAAAAAATCATCGGTGCCCTTTCTGTAAGATAACACCGTCTTGTGTTGTAAGGATGCTTTATATACATAAATTTCACGTGAACATCTCTTGTATTAGCTGATGTTTGCGCTTTCAGTCCCGAGACTATTAAAGCTTCATCGAACGCAGAACCGGTGGGCTAGCCAGAAACCCAGGGGTTTGGGCCCTCAACTGTGGGTATGTGCTTATGCGTGCGTTTAATGGTGGAATGTCATCTAAGGGCCATCGAGGTTCGGTGCGGACCGTGACCTCGATGGCCGTTGACTGTGTTTGGCTTAGTCAGGAACGCGGGTGTACCTTGTGTACGCGTCGTGTTCACCTGAACGAACACCCAGATCCGAAACAATTATCCGCGGGTGTACCTTGTGTACGCGTCAATACGAAACAATTGTCCGCGGCGCACAAACAGTTGTCCCGTGTGTATCGAATCCACGACCCCTGACGCTAATCCAAGATGCACCGCGGAGTCACAAAGGGGAGGTTTAAGCGTGTAAGCGCCTTTACGGTTCCACTCGGTGACCCAAGCGGAGTGCCACAAAGCGGCCGCTTTGTTGTAGTGTTGTTTTTGAACTAGTAGACCGCTCAGCCACTTCGCGCTGAAATAACAAGCGTCGAGACGCTGAGTCAACGAGCCAGTCGCCTCTAGAGCCTAGAGATGCGTCGCACAAAGGCGGCTGGGAAATGCCGGCAAAGCCCTAACCTGGAAGACGTTCGAATAAAACACGATGTTGATCTAAGTTCTAGTTTGTTGCTTATCATTTAAATTGTAAAAGTACTGAAAAAAGGTAAATCGCGCCGAGTGCATACACATTTGGTTTCATGCCTTTGTTTATTATTGTTTAAATTGTCAACGTAACTGAATGAATGAATGGATATTTATTTAGTTTCATCAACAAACACAGTGATGTTAACAATTAAAAGAATATATATCTAAGACATGAAACCAATTATGTACGTACTCGGTACGATTTCCCGATTTTCAGTACATATCAAAAATTTAAATTATAAATCACCAACTAGACTAAGATTAACACTTACCATAGTGTCTTACCATTTGTTGAAACTAATTTAATAACTAAATATTCATTCATTCATGTTATTGTTTCGCGCTATTTCGCTTCCCGTACGGAATTATCTTGACTTTTTATGTCAGTTCACGCTGGCTAAAGAACAGGCGATTCACGTGATGTAAAGTGACTAGCATCGATACCGATCTTTTAC